TTACTAAGGCAAGCACAAGCAAATAATTTATACAAAAGATTGCCGTTTAATAACAACTTGGTCAGTCCTGTCACATCAAAAGAAGATATTTTAGGAGAGGATGGACATTTGGCCCGGCCTCTTTCCCCTAATGGTAGCTTATTTACAGATCCTATGATTAAACTTGAAGGTACGAACGGTTTCACAAGCCCAACAATCCCAAATCACATGACACTTGCCTTTAATATGAACATGATCTCACGTAAATCTTTGAGAAGTATTCTGGACGAGGTTCGGAATACATTAGACAATCGCTCTGTCCGGTACAAGCAATCAGATTTGCTGTTTACGTTGCAAGATGGCGAGGTCCAAATGCAGATCGAAGTGTGTCAGTCTCCTGAATTAGCTGTGAATGGCTTACGTTTACGCCGGCTTTGTGGCGACACGTGGGAATACAAACGATTATGTAATGAGTTGCTTTCTGGAATGAACCTATAGTTTCCAATACACACGTATGGACAAGCCCAGAAGGAACAACGTGGTTGACTTCCCGCCTAGATCCAGGTTCGACACAAACAAGTGATATCACCAAGGAGAGAGAGCTTGGTAAGGTTGCTGTTGAGATTTATTAAAGTAAGACATGTAGTATACAGTCATAGTACAAAATATATAGGAGTATTCCTAATTCTGCTTCACCGCTACAAAGATTAGCGGCATTTGAAACGTGTTTGCCGTTCTGTTCACGTTGCCGTAGATAAATCACCCTACTGTTTAATAAGGCACTATTGTTTCCCATCGTTGTATGAGCGTAATTTGCAAAGGAATGATTTAATTATAGCTGGAAAAATTATGACAAAATGCATGGAAGCTGGGAATCATATCCGGGCCGGATTGTGCGATAATCTTATTATCCGGTATCCGGCCAGAAACAACTGGCCGGATACTTGATATTGTTTATTTCTTTAAGGTTCAGGTCTTCTTTTTAAGGTTAAAAATTATGTCATGCGGTTTAAAAAGTACGAGTGTTTACCATATTTTTACTTGAAATGATCGTGGAGAAGCTGGCAGTTATACAATATTTTCCAAGTTGTTTCATGCTCGCCTAAAAATGCGAAAAATTGGGTTTCAAATTTGAACCTTTTGAACAAGGCTTTTCCAATCATGCATGCATGTTTATCGATGTTGGACTGTGAAGTTCTTTCTATCATTTCGAGTCAATATATTATAAACGCCATGACTTTATAACCAATGAAAATAATTATTTAACCTTGAATGATTGGGTCTGAACCTTATATAAGCTGGGTTGTTCTGCCGGATACCGCGGAATATCTGGTATCCGGACTGTAAGTAAAATGCTCTATCCGGTGCACCCCTATTATAAACTCAAAAAATTCGTTAAACGCCAGACAAAGGCAATAAGAAACAAATTGACTAGCTATGTTAAATTGTAATAGAAATTGACTCTTTGACATTGATGAAAATAGCAGTAGCGAAGGGAACTAATAATTCTGTCAAGAAAATTCCACTTTGCCGTTGCCCTCAAACGTGAAGCTTAAGCATCCTACCATTTAAATACTGTAGGCGGTAAAGCAGGATCTTTTTATGTTGTACATGACAATTAAATAATAGAAGTGTTGTAGCATTTAATAGAACGTTCGATAACGAGCTCAAGAATTTTTATACAGCGGTTAAAATGCTGTAACAACACTATAATTTTACATATTTAGTAACTTGATGAGTTTGATGTACATAACTAAGGAGAGTATAAGAATTTAAAATAAGATGAACGTCCCATAAATAGTTCTGTGATAAATATATAGTGCATAATGCGTCGTTCAATATAGTATAAGTATAACTTTACGTTTATTAGAAAGTCATACGCTAGTTTGAGTGGCGGTTCAAATCAGAACACAATATTTGAGATACTATACAGGGTGTATAAAAAAAAACTGAACAGATTTGAAATTGCTCTCAATTTCGCAAAACACCTATTTGTATCCGGTTTTTTATATATATAGTTTCTTTGGGTACTTATAATGTAGAATAATGAAAAAAATTTCTCGAACTCAAATTTTGTGAACCAGGGGGTGGGGGTGTTTTTTCCAACAAACTAAAAATGGCTCGCGCACAAAATTTAAAAGCTGTAATCATATTTTAAGTTAACAGATGGAAAATTTGTCGGTTTTTAATTACTGTACAAAATTTCAGACAATTTGGTTTAGTTTAAGCCCTTTAACTATTCACGCAAAGTTACATTTTTCCTGAAAATCAGCAATTTGCATGCTTAATTAATGCCTTTGCCTAATTTGCATATGTCAGCAATATGCAAATTAGGTAAAGGCATTAATTAAGCATGCGAAAGGCTGATTTTTTAGAATAAAATGAATAGTTAAAGGGCTTAAACTAAATCAAATTGTCTGAAATTTTGTACAGTAATTGAAAACCCAACAAATTTTCCATCTATTAACTCAAAATATGATTACAACTTTTAAATTTTGTGCGCGAGCCATTTTTAGTTTGTTGGAAAAGACACCCCCCCCCCCCTG